TAGTAGTAGTAGAGTAGTAGTAGAGTGGTAGTAGAGTAGTAGCAGTTCCGTTCCCAATCGCACACGTGCAGAGACGTCCAGTGCCGCCCTCCTTCGAACGCAAAGACTCGACCATCTATGACAGCTGAGGGAAGAGACATTGTCACAACATAAGTGACAAAAAGAGGCATAGGAACCGAGGTTCCAAGCAATACCCCTGGACACTCATCGCCCCTTCAGGGCCAAGCATGAGGACGATAAGAGATCTATGCAGCGACTCAGTTGGCATGCAGCCCTTGCCCTCTCAGTCTGCAGCCTAGCAGCGGTCACATCGGCAGATTTGCGAGGGAAGCTCGGAGCACCAATCACATCCGGAAGCCCCATTCTTTCATCACATCACACTGTCGCTCTCATCACTGGAATCTCGCTTCGGCTCTGCTGTCATGGACAGCCCACTGGCCGCTGCACGAGCCAATCCCGGCGCATGCTCCCTCACCTTGAAACCTAGCTGCTTTAAAAACGGGCTCAGGCTTAAGTCTGTCAGCGTTCCGAACATGAAAAGCCACAAACATGCATCGCTGACCCCGCCATGGATAAGTTGCATGTCGCAGTCGAGTCTCGAAAAGGAGCGGCTCCCGAAGTGAACAAAGAGTGCCTACTGGTCCTCCATGTTCCAAAACTACTGTTCTTTGCATGCACAGATTCCATCCACAGTTGCCCGTCCAAGAACGCAGAAAATGGAATCAGACGATTTCGCGATTCCTTCTGATTACGGCAGTCTAGATGAGCTGTCGTCTGAACGTTGCGAAGCATCGCCACCGTCGTGTACCTGTGGCTTGGACAAAAAAGTTAAGAATGCAGAGAACACCAAGCCAAGAGTATGCAGATGTGAATTTGCGAAGGTCCATAAAGGAAATGTGCGAAGCCACCCAATGTAGATGATTTCATTGGCAAGAGATCAGTCACTTCACCATTGGAGGGCATGACACTTTGCAAGGAGTCCGGCGGCAGGCTATCCAGCATATGCTGTAAGGTGAACCAGCAAAGGTGCCGAAGTAAGCACATCGTGCGCCCATGACTCGATTTCACAGCTGGGGTTCACCATTGGAGGCCCTGCCGGGACACAGCCCGCTTGAAAGTTCGGCCACTTTACATCTGGGTGCTGAGGCAACGGCCGCCCAACGACAATGGAAGGGCCGCTGAATACATGCCAAAGTCTCTGGCTGCCTGAGGACCAAAGCCGTGAAGACGGGTGGAACTCTGAGGGATCCATCTCAGAGGTTCCATGTATGACGCGGAAATCTGCTGCCAAGTGCTTGCGTTCAGCCGACTCCCTCCAAAACTGTCGGGCCAGGGCTACGCAAAGTGCGCAACTCAAACGTTTCGCAGGTCCTATGCAGTACGAAAACATCTAACGAGGCATTGACCGCCCCTGGCAAAGAACTGGCCGTAGTAGTAGTAGTAGTAGTAGTAGTAGGAGGAGTAGTAGTAGTAGTAGTAGTAGTAGTAGTAGTAGTGGTAGTGGTAGTGGTAGTGGTAGTGGTAGTGGTAGTGGTAGTGAGGGTGGCAGTGGTGGTTGTGGTGGTGGTGGTGGTAGTAGTAGCAGCAGGAGGAGGAGAAGTAGGTAGCAACAGCAGTAGCAGTAGCAGTCGCAGGCCCAGTGGAAGTGTACGTATGTATGTATGTATGTATGTATGTATATATATATATACATATGTATGTATGTGTGTGCAACATGTAGACAAGTTTACCTACATAAATAGATTTAGGCATGAATCCAAATATGAACTTCAACATAAATATAAATGTAATGTAAGTAAAAATGTACAGCCCAAAACTTCGACCAGGAAGACTGGAGGTTGGCTTTTCGCGCAGAGGAGACTGCTTCTTGAGCGTGGAGGGGTTTCAGGGTTAAGGATGTTGTGGGGTTTCAGGGTTACAATTTACAAGGGATGGTTCGTCTTAGGTCTTAGGTCATAGGCATCTAGATCTGACGGTAATTTTCTAGGTTCTGTGTACAGGCTCGGCTCTGGGCCTTCTAGATTTGGGTTTTTGGAGCAAGGATTTTTAAAAGAGTGTTTGTAAGCATCAGCTTCAGTGCCTCGTGCCCTATTCGTTCGGGATTGGACGGTGTGGGTTCAGCGGAGGCTAGTTGCTTCAGGGTCTGCATGCTGCGCAGGCCCAGCCTTCATCATCACAAGATGGCTTCCAGGCAGGTTGCTATATCAGTACTGCATAGGCTGCATAGGTGTTCATGGTCTTGAAGACAAGCGCCCCTAAGGGTTTGCCCCGAAGCTTCGATGCTTTGAAGCGTCATTCGAATTGAGCTGCAGCTAAAATGCGGCATCGAAATCAGAAACGAAGGCGCCAACCAGATTAGCCCAAGCACGAAACCCGGCCCAAGCGCCAGGTCGTGCTTGCTGTTGGCGCTTGGTCCAGCACACGCCAGAGACGAGTGGTTTGCGGAAAAATGAATTGCACATGGATGCGCTGACCCACCACCCATCTGGCCAAACGAATCTTGACACCAACACGGCATTGCCAGAATGTCGACAGCTTTTGCTGCATCTATTTTCTACTCGGATTCGGATCGCAGCGTCACAGCGTTTCTCCATTTGTCGATGCAGCTCCATGCCTTTGCCTTCTGCGGGCACAGATGTGTACTGGTGCAACACTCGCAGCTGCATCAACCACGTACCCCAGCAGTCGACAGCAGAACTCAGGACTGCATAGGCATGGTCTTGGAGACAGCCGCCCCTGATAGTCCTGTTGATTGCTCAGCCTTATATGTAGCGCCAGCACCAGGCGGGGCATCCACATCTAGGGAATCCTTCGCTCCCTGCAGCGATGCTTCGCATACAGCTGCACATCTTGATTTGCTAGGTCCTCTATGCGGCATAAAAAGCACGCCTCGAGTCTGTGAACATGTTTGTCCAATCCAGTCTTGCTAGCAGCACGTGCATCCGTGTCCATATGTGTCAGAGCGGGCGTAACCTTCTCACATCCAACTTGGCTTAACGGCTGACCGAAACCTTAACATCAGGTGAGCACAACGCAGAATCGATGCTCTCCACTACAAGCAGCTTGGATGCAACCTTTATGGTCATGATCGTGGCCACCCAGGTTCATGGCAGTCGCCGAGGCACTTGTTGGAACGTTTTTTCAGAATGTTGCTCTGAGGACCTTCGCGATTCCAGTGATGCAGAGGTGGCAGATGCATCTCACCCACCGCTGCCACAGGCCGTGACAAAGCAGCACTTCAGCGAGTTCTGTTTGACATCCAAGTGATTTGAGGTTGGAAGCGGTCGGGTGCTGTCAGCATGCAATTTTCTGTTAAAATCGGGACGACAAAGAGCCCTGTGCCAACAAGTTACGTGGACCTTTGATGCTTCGATGCCTGGACCAGTTTGCCAGGTTCCGGGCAGTGCAACAACAACGTAGTGGAATCAATGCCTCTGCTTAATCATCGTCTGGCAGGTCTAGTGACTAGTGTTTACGGCAGTTCATTTGCGTATACCTATGTATGTATGTATGTATGTATATATATATAAATATGTCTGTATGTGTGTATGTACGTATGTACGTATGTATATGATTGCTTTAAACGTCCACCTCTCTCGCTTATATATAGCTTGCATGGTTCGCAGGAGGCCTCTAATGTGCGAAAAGGCTGTGGGGAGCTTTGTGGTACTCCTTGTTCGTGCTGTTGTCAGGACCGTTAGGAAGCTTGTCCTAAACCATGCAGCCTTTGGGTCAAGACTGAGTGGCTGGGTCCTTCTTCCCACAACACGGAAGCACCCCGGCAGCGGCCTGAGAGTGCGGCGGATGGCGCCGCGGAAATGTCGAGCTCCCTAAATCCGAAGCTCTTTCCACAAAGCACATTCTTCGATCCAGGGCTTCAGTGGCTCCGGTCTTTTTTCCAGAAGTTGATCACGAAATCGCACCAAAAGCAGGCTCGCAAGAGATCTGTTTTGAGATCGACTCGAATAAGAGACATTTCCGGCAAACATGAAGGCGAGTTTATGCCAGGTCCAGCGGTGACCGAGGTGCACAAGCTAGCCTGATGAGGCTGTGCACCGCGATAGCTCGTCGGCATCGGCAGCCATTGATCTTCGAGAATCATGTCCTCGGAATGGTTCCCTGTCGTTGCAGCAATGTTGCCGTGAGAGGCGCTCTGGCGCGCGCAAGCCTGCTGGGAAGCGCCCTGCAGGTGAGGGAATCACACGTCTGGTTGGGTTGGGGTTTGTATCCTCAACGAACATGCTGGCTGCTTTGGGTGCAGATGCCGCTGGTGATGCTCCTCCCAAAGCCAACCCGACGTGTTTTTGCTGGTCATGCGCGTAGAGTCGCAGAGCACTTCATGCTGCCCATTTGTGATCGTGACGGTGCCTTATTCTGTGAGACAGCGAGTTTTTTCGTGTGCTGGACACAGTGGAGTTCTGCTTGTTCATAGCAGGAACAGTCTGGTCTTCGACGCAGCAGATCAATGGGTTCACGTTCAGAGTTGGCGAACATGGTCTGAAGCCTCAGACATGCCGTGTCAAAGTGGCAGCTGATTCATGTGCACAGATGTATTGGGAGTTTCAGAAAAATGGGGGACCCTTAGCAAGAAAGTACTTCCAAAACCTCATTCTCAGATCCCCACATACTGTAGCCACAGAGCGCGCAGGGCCGCCCAAAAAATACGGTAGCCCTTTTTGCGGAAAGCCAAATGTAGGAAGCATGGAGAAGTAGCGAGCGACTCTCAGGTGGAGCAGCTGTCGGAAACCAGCGGAAGTGGATCAGTGCGCATGTTGACACGAGCAGGCCCAACGGGTATGCTGCGCTGCGATGAACAGTATCACAATCAGCCTGACATTTGTCTGAACGACATACTGTCAAACTGTTGAAAGAAGCTGATTTGTGTCACGACTGTCGCTGCCCTGTTGCGACTCTGATTGTTAAGGTAGTGGCCAGAACAAATCATAACGGCAGTAGCTACTCAGTAGTTGGCCTTGGATAGAGTTGCTCCGATTATAATAATTCTTGCGTTTTCTTCTGCTAGTAGCACTATAAGTGTTCTCAGTTTTTTTAAATTCTTGTTGATCTTGTGGTTGCTGTGGTTAGTATTTTCATTGCGTTAACTCTCACTGTCAAACTGTTAGGCCTGCTGTAGCGATTTTCCTGTTCTTAGGCCTACTGCTGCAGCTGACGCAGGTCTGTGCCTGGCCATGGGAGTCGTGCTGGTGGCGGGCTACCATACGCTGCATCCTGAGCTTGGAACGTCCGGTTCTCCGGCTCTTGGGCTTGGCGATTCTCAGGCCGGTGTGGTTAATCCCCTTCGGCATCGTCTTCGAGGGAGTGTCGCTTGCTTGGTTCTACTTGATCCAGAAGGAGCCACCGAGATGGCGCTTTTGGGCAGAGACCGGGACTGGAAGGTCGCTTGTTCCCTTTCAGGACTGCGAGAAAGGCCACTTCTTTCCGAGCCCTGCTTTGAACACGCTGGTTTCGTATCTCCTCCGTGGCTCTCTCAGAAGGGCTTCATGTGCCTGGCCGCATCATCATAAGAAGGTGGAGGAATCTTGAGGAATCTTCATGCCACGACGTCAGGTTGGGAGCTGCACATGGCCGTGGCAATCATGCTCACCGCGACACAGGCGATTGACATGTACGGGTGCTGTAGCTGCGGTGTAGCCACCTGCAACAGTGAGCGAAAGTGTTGGGGTCTGCTGAGCAAGAGCATGAAGGTTGCAGGTGCTACGATTGCTTCGTCGGTTTCCGGAAGCATGATGAGTCTGCCAGCCATGCAGCCATAATGACTGATGAAGCGAGTACGCCCTGTGTTTTTATTAAATGAAGATGGAGACTGGCGGCAATGATGACAAAGATTCGGGTGAGCCATTCCAAACGTGTCCCTGTTCGCAAACCGATGACTGCTGCAGATCTGGAGCTTTGGAGCACTGCTCAAGTTCTGGATGCTCCCCTTCCTGGTGATGCAAGCCACGCTGGCCACCACCACAAACTCTGAGGAGGCAAGTCGGGGATTTGTGATCATTCATCTTGGAGGCTTCGGTATGCCCATAATAAGGTATATACCAAAATTCCCATAGTTTAGGGTCCTTATAAGGTAATGCCCATTGCTGGAGGACGGGACGAAGAAGCAGCGACAGCCTGGCTCGATCAGAAAGTCTCCTTCAATGACATCGCCACTCGAGACCGCACTTGTGAGCAAGGAGCACGAAGCCGGTGCGATTTGAGCGCCGCAGAAGTGACCGAATCTCCGAGCCATCGAGTTTTAGCCGGCTGTTTTGAGGTTGGAGCTTCTCTTCCCAGAGCTCGAGCTGGAGCCTCGCAAACCCAACTCTTCGAGATTTTGGGCCTTTGTCCGACCTTGCTCTTGCTTCGCTGCAGGTCCACGGCCTCACAAGTCAGCGATCTGCTTGACATTGCGCAGCACGCCGACCAGTCGTCGGTCTTCCGGCGCCAGGCCTTTTTTTCTCCAACATACTCTAAAGCACTTCTGGCACTGCTTATAAAACGGTACAAGCACTACGAGTCTGGCTTCTAGGCGACGCACGGGGGCGGTCGAGCTGGGAAAAGGTCAGGTTCTAGCGAGGGGGCCAGGGCAGTCTTTCCTTGCGCCCCGGCCCGGGTGAAAGCGCTGCAGTATTTACCATACTTGGATTGCGAAGACCTGCATGTCAACGTATGCCGATAGCAACCAAACAACAAGTCAAAAAGTAAACATCAACTGACACAGCCAACACATGGCAATTTCGCGACCATCGCCACGACTGCAAACCCCGCCGCCCGTATTACCACCGGCACTACCAGCCCTCCTAGCCCTCCCAGCACCCCAGCAGCGCCAGCAGTCGAGGATTCCTGGCAGCAGCAGTAATGGTTTTAGTTTGCCGTTGGGGTGATTCCCAAGACCAAGTCGCACTGGCTGCAGACCGCTTTTTGCCGGGATTTGGCATACTTTTGGGCCAAGCTGGTTACCTGACCCAAATCGACAAGTCAGGTAGATTGGAGTTAGGATTTCCGCTCGATCTGGTTTCCTGGGGATCTGCACTTGTAAAGGTGAGCGGTGACCAGGAGGACGAGGAGGATTCTGAGCGCTTGTGAACCGGAGTTTTGTGTTTTCGGAGGGTCCGATCTTGCCCGCAGGACTGGCAATTTGGGGTTGCACTCCATCAAATTCCAATGTGAGAACCTCAGTGCACAACCTGCTTCTCCGAAGTGCTTGCTGACATGTGCTGACGGCCGCTGATCTCGAAGTGGCCTGCACACAGAGTTCAGGTATCAATTACAACGATTGTCCAAGAATCTTTCCAAAGAGTTGCAGCGTGCGCGTTGCGTGGCAGCATGAAAGGGTCGGCTTTTTGCAACGGGGTCGTCAGCACAGGTGTTGTTTTCGTCCTTGCGGTGGACATGACTTTCTCCCTTCCGAGGCAGTGGAAGTTTTGGATCCAACACAGACCTGGCTGGGCTAGCAAATCAGCCACAATCGGGATCTGAAGAAAACCTGCAAAGACTGCGGGAGGCCTGAGGGACTGGCGTTTTACAAAGTTTCTGCTGTCGGTCGCGCGGCCCCCTGACAGGCTTCGAAAGCGAAGTCCAAGACAAGGCTGCCTCGTTGGCTCTTCAATCTTGCTGACTGGACTCTTACAATTATCCTCCAGGTCGTCCAAGAAGAAGACGCCCCTGGAACAAGTCCTGAACATCATCGGCTGGCCGGCAGCTAGGCTCAGTCAAGCCTTTTTCCGACTTCTGGCCTGCAGTGGATCGCTGGACGTTGTCCGTCTTTTCCGGTGTGCGCCATGCAAGTGCAGACGGGACTTGCAGAACCTTTTTGACCATGTTTCTCGGGGCTACATGGACTGCCCTCATGCAGTACCATGCACGCCGTGTTTGCAGTATGTGCTCGCATCAAGCTTCGAGGCCCGCTACTTGTTTCGAGAGATGTGGCTTTGGACCGAGCGGGATCTTACCCTCTACGCCGTGGTTTCGCTCTTCTTGGTCGAGGTGTATGTTGCTTGGACTGACCAGTCTTACTCTGTATGGTGCCATTTTAATGAACGCTGTTGTCATAGTTTCCGCTAAGATCTTGATCCAGCTAAGATCTTGATGGTAATGACAATGATGATGGTGATGTTGGTGGTCAGTGTGCTAGTGTTGAGGACAGTACGATGATCGTATGACGTTTACTGATGTTGATGAAGACAAGATGGAGAGCAGTATCATAGACATCGTCACCATCTCTCCGGAATCGTCAGAATCTTCCTACGCACAATCACAAGCATCACCATCACCTTGTTCATACTCATTCTTGTCATGACTACGGTCATGGTCGTGGGCCACTATCATCGTGTCTTTCATCATTCCAATCATCGTCTCTATCGTCGTCATCACCATGTTCATCTTCAGCATCAACATCTGCAGCATCGTCAGGCAGGGTTCATATCTGTCAGCCAGGTTGGCACCCAGTACTTCGCCTGGTCTCCCGTATGTCTGCTGTACCCGATCCTTTCGAGCTCCTCAGGCGGGCCAGCTGTGATCTTTGTTCACCTGTCTGATCCCGGGTTCTGCTGTCAGAAGCTCCCAGAGTCCTATGTACTTTGTGATTTTACAGCTAGGCGGGATGCAGCACAACAGACACTGAAGGTATGTGAGTGCCCACCCAAACTTCCGCGCAGCTTTCCCTTCGCGCATTTCGGTTCTCATCCCGCAGAGGGCAGGCGGAACAAAAAGCCCACAGCAGACTTCCAAACGAGTGATCCAGAGTTCTGTGACAAGACCTTGGAAACGTAAGGAGAAACACCGGACAGTTCTGGCCTTGCGAATGCCGGTGTGCGCAGAGATGGGGTTGATTGACATGTGAATTGCACCTGCGGGTCAATGGTTCGGCAGGTCTCCACGGTCTCCACTGACAGTCATTTGGTTCGCTTTTGCACACCACAGCACCGTGTGCATGAAGCCTCAAGTGATTCAATGCCATTTTCAGCAGGCTCCAGAAAAGCTCAAGAACTCCAAGACGAGCTTGTGATGATTTTCGCGCCTGAGCCCCTCGGCACGGCTGGTGAGAAGTGTCGCACACGGCCGTCTCCTCTGGAAGTCTGCCTTGCATCTGACATGTGACTGCAGGTATCGTTTCTGGCGCAGAGTGAACATTCCAGTGGCCATTCAGGCGTGCTGTGGGCCTGCAGTTGAGATGGTTGAGTCAAAGCAGCCGTGTCATGCTTGCAACAGGTGCTTGTGTGCCACAATATGACGATCTATCTACTCATAGTCACTTGGCTGATTTTGGGATGCTCTTCTGCCGTGTGGACGAAGCCATGCACCCTTTCTCCACCGAGGTTGTGCTCATCTCGCCCGGCCAGAGGCAAGGCAAGCAGGTTGTCGTCACAGGAGTCATGTGGACGAAGTCCCTTGTGCCTCGTTGTTGCAGCGATACACTCCGTGACTCGCTTGCGCGAATGCCACCACTTCAAATTGCTGGGATCGGAAATAGCGGTGACTCCATGCGACTCCACTGGCGTTTGTATTGTCTGTACTGAAAAATGTTTCAATCGAAGGTCAATGACGGCATTAAGTGTTGACAGAAGCCGGAATTCTTAGCTTGAAGCTGTGGGCCAGCTGCCGGCGGGTGGGCTTTGGGGTTATGTGGCGTGCATCACTTGCTTTCCGGATGCGGTCTCCGAAAGTAACGAGCTTGTCTTGGATGCTTCCGCTCTTGTGAATCGGCGGGTCAGTGGTGACAGCTGAATTCCTGGAGGGACCTGTATGTGGGGAAAACCCCATGTTGGCAGACCTATGTGCGCACCTCAGTCCTTTTCTGCTAGACTGCGTCCAATGGTCCTCCGTGGTCTATCCAAAGAGTTTTGGAAGGTCTGGGCATTTCTCCTGTTGGTGGCAGCCTCGGATTCTCTGCGGTAGCTTTGCTCTCTTCTGCAGCGCGGCCTTAGAGCCTCAGACTTAGAGCCTTAGGTGCTTTCAATTGTGGGAATGGTGGGAACGAACCTGGTCTGGGCTGTGGGCAGCATCCGTCCGAGCATCCCGCAAAAGGCAGGCCGTTGTGGAGTTTCACCGAAAAGCTCCGTAAAAGGGGGGGCCCCGTAATTTGTTTCGGACCTGCCGACCCCTGTCAGGTCGCCCTCATGATTTGTCAATCACTGGCCAACCAGGCAAAGTCGAGCACGGATGCAGCGGACTCCAGCACGTTGGGCATGATTCTTTGCCCTGCAGGGTTCAATTTTCCGGTGGAGTCGCGATCAGCGATGTCATTTGAAGAACAAAGGCGCCTGTTGGACGGGCAGATTTCACAGATTTGCTGCCGAAGCCCGAAGATGCTGTGACAGGTACGGATGCTGACCCTTTCGACCCACAGCGCGGGCTGGCGTATCGCTACATAGGATGGTCTCTCATGCACAAAACTCCGAAGATGATTGAGGCCGGGGCGGGGCACCAGGGGGCAGACGATATGCAACCAGCACCCGTTCCCTGGTCAAAGGCAACCCGCTCTGTGGACGTCCACGACCTCCTCTTGGACCAGGCTGTGGCCGGAGAGTCGAGTGCAGGGCTCGTTTCGGAGAGAAGACCGCAGTGGACCCAGTGGACTCAGTGGACACGGTGGCACCTGGAAGCAACATGATGCCTCGACGATCGAGGTCATGTGAACTGTGAAGTGAACCGTTGCTTTGGTTTTCCAGTGTTGCATTCAAGTGAACGGCCTCGACAGTGTTTTGCAACAAGTGCTGTATTGTAGCATTTCGGGACAAGGCCTTGTGCTGGGTGTACCTGAATGCTTCACGGTTTAGGGTCTGTCTCTACTGGCTGTACCTGCATGGCTAGTGGTGTAGGGATGTTTAGGACTTAGGGTCTAGGGAACTCTCTGAAGTTGAACCTGCAGGTCGTCATGTTTCAAGCTGATGTGGATGCATGGTGGAACTTGTCTTTCTCCCATGCCATCCCCGCCTTCGACACTCGGCCGCAGACTTGCGACGGGCTGTCGATCCAGTGTTCGGCTTTCACCGCCCGAGCCAACCACTGGAAGCTTCCAGCGTCGTTGCCTATAGCCGAAGCAGCACTGCTCCGTTGCTTCTAAGGCCACCCTTCTTTGGGGAGAGGAGCTTTTCTTGGGATGGGTCATCGCTGGCTGTGCGAGGCTGGAAGCGCGGCTTTTTTCAGAAGCACAAGAGATTTCTCCGACCCCTGGCAGGTCGGTGCTCGCGCTGCACATCAACCTTATCCTCTTGTGCTTCCAGCACCTCTGGTGCCCGCAGAAGGTGATGGTGTCAGCCGCAGATGCTGAAGAGGAGGAGGCCGGCGACAGAGCGGTCACAGCATTGCAGTTGTCGTCGTGGCTGTGCCGTCGCTGGCACCAGTCGTCCTCGTGTTAGTCGAGGTCGTAGTGGTACTAGCAGCAGTGTAGCTATAGAGCCAGCTGGCAGGACTTGATGGCGAGGAAGACTTTTACGCGCCAGGCAAGGCGACTTCAGACGCACCTGCTTGGGTGCTTGTGGAGCGCTTCCGGAGGTCTCCGAGCAGACCCGCCGGAAGGGCACTGAGCATCAGCCAGCACTTCTGCGTTCGGTCGGAGCCCTTCAACGGATCCCCGATTGCTTCTTACACAGTAGCAGCATGCAGAATGACAGGGTGTCTTGATCCTTCAACAATGCTGCACGTTCCGGTTGTAAAGTAACTAAGCCCAAACACTGGGTGGGGGTTTCCGAAAATAGGGGACCTTAAAATAGTACCCTAATTTATAGGATCCCTATTTTAAGGACCCCAAAATAAGGTATCCGAATCTTCTGAAACTCCCGGGTCGTGCTTCCGGCCAGCCATGCCTGTAGGCCTCTATCGCTGATGTCGGCCTGGCCATGGAGCAGGACACTAATTTTAAAATGCCTAGTTTTCTGCTTGTTCATAGTACTAGGCTATATTATTACTATTTTGATTCTTATTGCTTTTATTAGTATTATTATTATCATCATCAGGCACAACAATTCTTATTATCGTGATTGTGATTATGATTCTCACTTTTACTAGTGTCATGCCTCATGTGACTGAGCACTCCTGAGTGCAGGAGGCTCAAGCGTCTGCGTCCCAAGCGGTTCCGCCAATACCCTTGCCGAAGCCGGGGCCGTCGGAAGACGGAGGCGGTGTCTTTGTGAAGTACAAGGCCAGAACTGCAGCGCAGGATTCCTTGCTGCTTTCGTACTTAAGTTGAGTATCGCTGCTCTTCATGGCATAGCCATGATCGTTGCTAGTAACTTAGCACCACTTTTCGTTGCTTTTCTTGCGGCTTCAACTGTTCTCAGCTGCCCACGAGATTTCCGCAGTCTTGTCTCTTCAAGCTTCTGGACCCTTCTGAGATCCGCGCCTTTGCAGGTTCACGAGTCCAGCACCGGGGCAGACCCATCGGTGGAGGTCAAGCTGGAGCCCCTCTGGCGCCGCAGCACCCTTGTCGATCTTGCGAAGGACCAGCCTTTCTTCAAGCTGAGAGCCGTTTCATAGTTGTCTATCCTAAACCCTAAATTCAAGCTGCCAGCCGTTTCATAGTTGTCTATCCTAAACCCTAAACCCTAAACCCTAAACCCTAAACCCCAGCCGAAGCGCGACCCCTGAACCCATGACCTTCCCTCCAAGTCTCAGCCTTTTCTGAAGACCAGGATGCTGTTGCCGACATCCTCCAGGCGCAAAGGGTCTGGGGCAGCCTCCGAGAACAATGAAGCCGGGCTACATATAAATGACTTGAAACTCTTTTCCCGCCTAGACTGTCGTTGTTGTGTTTTCTTGTAGGTATGCAGGCGGACAAGGAATACAATTTGTATGTAACCATGTATGTTTGCTTGTTCATGCGTTTTTGTGTTGTCTTGTCAGTACAGTTGCATGTTTACCCATGCGAATGTGGATTCACATACAGTTGCTCTCAATGAGCACTCGTTTCTCACTTAACCCATAACTGCGTATGGTTCAGTATCGCTTTTATTCCCCACCCTCGGTGTGGGGCTGTTTGATTTTAAAGTCAGCTATTGCTCCCGCTCCTCGTCCGCTGCTCGCCGGCTGAGACTACCTCCGGAGACTGCCTGGAGTGCACCCCCAGAGACTACCGTGAGACTCCCTGGAGTCCTCAACCCCAAAGACTACCGTCAGACTCCCTGGAGCGCCCAACCCCGGGACCCCAGGACCTTAACGGCAGTCAGAGGTGTGACCCCATGGATCATTGACTGACCTGAATCGAACACTTGTGTGTTGTTACGTGTACGGCGTCCCCACGTCCGTGACGCTTGTCACTGGATGTCACTGGTATGACCCCATGGATCGTCCACCGACCTGACTCGAACACGTGTTTTTCACAGAGTTACGTGTACAGGGACCCCACGTCCGTATCGCCAGTTGGTGCCCATGGGTCGTCGAATGGCCTGAATCGAACACTTGTGTTTTGTTACGTGGCCGGGGACCCCACGACCGTAACGCCAGTCAGTGGTGTGGCCCCCAAATGCATTATCCGTAGGGCACTGTAGGGTGGGGATGTTCGAATTAAAACAATTTACCGTGTTTGTTTTTTGTGCTTTGTATCTCACTTGTCTCCTCTTCGTCGTCACCGCTTAGTGGGATATCTCGTGTGTGTCAGTCTTGCATGACTCAATGACATATCGTGTGTGTTTGGCAAGCAGACGGCACTGCTACTTGTATCATATTTCTTGTTGTTCGAGCTTTTAGTTTTTGTATTCAGGGGCTCATGCGTTGGCCATTTCCATGTCATGTAGTCTCTAGATCCAAGGCTATCACTACCATTACAGTATCACCATTGCGGTTGCTAGCTTTGCTGTAACGTTGCTGTGTACTTTTTGCTTGGTACTTTCCTCTTTTTTTCGGTTTCTTCGTCTCCTGGCGTCTCTCCTTCTGCTCGTTATTCGTACTCGTGTCTTCTTCTTGCTACCGTGACTGTGCCAGGTATCTGCTCGTATGAATCACTCGGAATCCCTGGACCGCCAGGTGCAAGCAACCGCTGTGAAGCCGGATCGTCCACTCATGGACCTGGGCTTCGATTCCGCGGGAGCTCTGAAACTCAGAAACAAGCTGAGCAGGCGGGCTTTACGGGCTTTTTGGTTTTCAGGCTTGCCTTGGGACGTTTGAACTTGACTAGGCTTGGAGTTTGCTCGAGACATGCTTTTTGCTCGCCTCGGGGTCTTCTTCTGGTTGCTAGCTGCTAGTTTACAACCTTAGTGCACATCATGGACAGGTTGGGGCTGGTCTGAAACCGTGAAAAAATGGGCAAGACACAATGATGGGGATGCAAGAGCTGCGCCATGTGCACCCGTGCCCGTACCAACCTCACCTGGCACCGTTTTCGACAAGGCGCCTGAAGATTGAGCTGCCTCCCACACTTCTTTTTGACCATCCTACCATCAACGTGGCCTCCTCAGCTTGATGCCAACACATCACCGGGAAGCATACCACTTCATTTTCCGTGATGTTCCTACCTATCCAAGGACATGGTGGACAATGGTATCGCACTGCTGTCCAAGAGGCCGATGACTCCCGCGCACGCTGATGGCGTTCCTGCAACCACCCAGCAGGGGCCAATCTCGCATCATGCACCGTGTTCGCATTTGCGGTACTTGTGACAGTCGAAACCTCTTGTGTGGGATCGACCTGAGTACAAGCTTCCAGGTTATAGTTTCCACTTCTTGCCAATTCCCTGGTGGCGCCAGCAGCAACTCTATCGCACGATGTCGCAGTCCTGTGTAGTCTTGAGATCCACAGAGAAGAGGTTGCAGCGGGTTCACTTTCGTGTTTGCCTTCAAGTCTTGGATCAGGTTTGAAGCTCTACTGGGACATGTTGGCAGACAAAAAGGATGCGGTGATTGAAGTCCCTCTTTCACGTGCCAGACTGAGTACCTGGTGCGTTTAGCAAGCCAAGACGGAAGTCCCGTCAACTGAACGCCGCCTTGTTCAGGCTGGGACCATGAACTCTACTATTCACAGGAGCCGCAGGAAGGAAAGACATACGCCCGCCATGGTGGCTTCGTTGAGGCAGACTCATGAGCATCTTAATGGCTGAGCGCGGGATCTCTTCGTTGAGCCACAGAGAGACGTCTGTGTGCAGGGTACAGACCTCTTCGACGTGACTTACTTCGGACTGGGCAGTGCTGAGGCTGGCAAGTGAGGATTGCAAGAGCTAATCAGGCGCGTCTTCATCAAGTTCCCTGATCTGAGGCCAGGACCACGGATCCACAGCAGAGGATGCTGCTAGGAGCAGCCTACGACGCGCTGCGAGGTGATGGCCTCCTTGACTGCACTAGTCCGATTTGGTGCCTTGCGGCATGACTCATGCAGACAACATGCTGAGCTGTGCTTCAAACCCAGGCTACGACAAGGCGCTGCTGCAGAACAATCCTTTGGCACTTTGGCTAGCAAGGATGGTCAGACATCCGCAGTGGTTGCGTTGATCAAACCCAGCTAGCTTTCGTGGACTGAGGGCGTCTTCACGGCTCTCAGCAACATGGAATGGTTTCATTTGGCGGTGTCGAAACCTGGAGTCTATACAGGGCCTGGTGTGTCCAGTGCAATTGCGGCGAACCGGATCAGAACCTCGGAGGCATTTCCAGCAGCATGGGTTTTTTATGCTGCCCTCAGTGCACCGTGCAAGTGGAACCCGAGAAGAGGCGCTTGTAAAGAAATCGGCAGCACCTTGTCGCAAAACAGATGTGCCCAGGCTATGTGTTTGGCCTCAAGGGACCCAGTATGACGGCCTCGGCCTCATTGCATTTTGAGGTGACCAGGGATTCTCAACGCACTGTCAAGCCGGATCAGCATGTGTCACTGACTGAGATCGATACGGCATGCTCTTCATCGCTGTCTGCTCTGCACGCAGCACTGCGGTCTCTCGAGGTCAGTGCTATGTTTAAAGAAAGGTTGGCGACACAAGGAAAGGTAGTCGGGAGACTGTGCGGGACACCGCAGAGCTATGCATTCACGTAGTTTCATCAATCTACGGATATACAGCTCCACCAGTGTGTGAATTATCTGAATAGTCGATAAGTACATACTTTACATGCATGCATGCATACATGCATAGACACATACATGCGTAGATGCATACACAGAGATAGGTTCGATAGACAAATAGATAGCCAGATATGCAAGGTAGGTAGGTAGATGAATAGGTCTCTGTGTGTGTACATATATAGATACACATTAGACACACACATGCGCAGACGAAAACAAGACAATCTTTGTATCCACCTGTCTACTTATTTATCTAGCAAGCACTTCTATCTCACTACGCACATTTGCTCTCTGTGCATGTAGGGAAGGACTGGAAAGGAATCCTTGAATTTCGTGTGCACACGTAGTCCGCTGTGTCGACCACTCCATTCGCACAGGGCCGACGCTCCCACGGAGCGCGGGGCGCGTTGCTGTCGGCTGCAGAGGCTCACTTCCCGATTGCCTGTAGTGTTGGCGTTCGGTGGGGTGTCGGGTTTAGATTTGTTGTTTGCAGGTTCATGGTTTAGGGGTCATCTGACTCCGGAATGTGGAGGTCTTGCATGGTCCAAGCAGCTTTGTGCTGCGCTCCGTGGCTGGCATGCTCTCGCCCGATGGCCGGTGTAAGACCTTCGATGCCACCGCGGATGGCCACTCGGAAGCAGCCGACGCTGCGCTTTTTGACTTGTTCAATGTGCTGCCGTGCAAGGCTACATCCGCGGTGAGGGAGCCGGTGCAATGCTACTCAAGTCTTCGGGAGATGCCGAGGAGGGAAGATGCCAGAACGTGGCAGAGGCACATCCAACAAGCAGCCAAAAGCCTTTCTTGCTCAATGGTCTCGCTTCTGCAGCGGAATGTTTCTCTGACTACAGTCACAGGTTGCTGGCGTGGCAGCTGGACAGCACAGAATCTCTGGGAGCTGGCTTTGCTGTCTTCAACGTGGCCTCTGTGTTTGCTACCCTTTACCTTAAGATCTGACATGTGCTTGAATATGCCGTGCTGCTTCTGCTACACTTCAGGTGATGAACCAAGATGGGAAAAGTGCCACGCTGACGGCTCCAAACGGCCACTCGCCCTGAAAAGAGCAGCTTAAAGCCATGCGCAGAGCAGCACCTGGTGCAGCAAGCTTTGCAATGCGCCAAACTGCTCACTCGTACCCGGGCTTCGAACTTTTTTTCCCCAAAACCGGATCCCTCATTCCTCATTCCCCTTTCCATACCATCTTTACCCGTACCCCCAGCACTTTGGGCTCGCAACCCCCCCAAAAAAAATCCCAGCCCTGAGGCCCCAGCCAGGAGGAGCTCTTGCAGCAGGCGCTCCGGGAGGCACAGCTGCCGGGCCATGCGCTGGGAGCTTTGGAGTGTGCGCAGCCCAGTAAAAAGCTGGAGATGTGTGTTGTTTGTGATTTTGGGGCCCGGGTGGGCATTGGGGCCTTTTGGGGTTTTAGGGCTTGGGAGAGGAGGTTTGGGAAGTTGAGGGCATTTTACTTTGCTGGCTTTTCGGGTGGCTTGGGCTGGATTTCAGTATCGGGCCTGGACGGATTGTAAGGGCCTGGAGTCCTGGAGGGCCTACGGGGAGGGGGTGAGCATGACTGGGTCTTTTGGGGACTCTTGGAGGTCAAACTCTGGGATTTGGGGGATTTGGGGTTACCGGTAATGCGGTTTAGGGGCCGGATTGCAGCTTGAGGCCTTGCAGTTCTGCGACCGCCTTTGCGAGTAAGGGTTCCGTATCGATGCCTGCAGTTTCGGAATGCCCCACACCTTTTGGCCTACGTACAGTATGTGCGTGTGAAGATCGATTGATATATATATATATATATATACATATAGACTGGTATGGATGTGTAACAGCAACTGCAGGTGTGTGGGAGTGACACACACGCATGCGTGTGCGACCACTCTGAGGCCATGGAACGGGGACGGCCCTCGGTGATCCCATCGAAGTGGGGGCTATCAAAGCCGCTTTGGGGCCCCTCGGAGAAGAAAAGGCAAGGAGAGTCATACCAGTTTTCGGGTCCTTATTTTCGGCCTCTAAGGCGGAACGATCCAAAAGCAGAAAGCCCGCTGCCACTCTTCTTGGCAGCAGCTTGGAAGCAGCAAAGCTGCAGAAGTTTACTTCCAAAGCTTGCCGTGCCAACAAGGCAGCCAAGTCGAATCACGGTCACCTTGAAGGGGCGGCAGGCTGTCAACTCGGCGTTGTTTTCATTTCTGCAATCAACAATCAACACGGGTTCATGTTACCTGTAGCTGGAAAGACATGGCCTTTCTCCAGGCTTTGCTGGCCTGACAAAGGTGCGAGTCTCAAATGTCAAAGGTTCTCTTATGAGTTTGGCCCCGGCTCGCGACGAAGCGTTTGGTAACAGCTGGGCGGCTGAGGTAGCTGCGTGCCTGCAGCGCAGAGAGGTTCCTCCAAATATCCATTTCCAGGCGCGTTCGTGAAGCTTGCGTCTACCCTCACATGTCCTCACAGAACGGCATGGTTTCCATGTGATGAATGGCAGAGCGGGGTGTGCGCAGGAGCTCAACCCGCACATCTCCCTGGAGCAATCTCGTCTTAGCGTACCGACATCCACCGTGAAGCTTGAGGGGGGCGTCAATCAGGCCGCAACAACGTGCCGAAAGAGTCTGAGCACGCAATGTGTGCGTCAGCTCCCAGAGCCTCGCAGGCGTCTCCTGCAATGGGCGTGTCGTCCTTCGGTTTTGGAGGTACGAACACTCACGCGCGCCTTGGCGGCGGCGATGTGAAACACGAAGTTGGCGCTTGTGATGCTCTGTGGAGTCATGACAGCAACACTACACAATGTGAGATTGATTTGATGGCTTCTTCGGACGGCTTGGTCAAGCATAGCTCAAGGCTACTGATGGCGTCACAGTCGCAACGCGCCTGGTGCTCAGCTCTCTTTGCACTTGCAGCGACAGCATACACAATTTCAAAGACTTTGTCAGTTTGTCGTTCGCATCTTTTGCGGCCTGAAGACCCGACATCTCTGTTGAACCTCTGGAACCTCTTCAAATCCAGCAAGCAGCTTTGCAAGGAAAATGCTGCGGCTCAGTCTCAGTGGCCCAAGCGCGTGGCCTTCCTCTTTACAGGCACATGTGGTCACAAAGAGTGGGTAGCTGGTAGAGGGTCGATGCAGGGTCTAGGTAGTTTAATAAGTTCCTGCAAGGGTTCTAGAAAGTGTTCCATAAGGGTTTAGGGCTAAAGAACTTACTTGAAGCTGCCATAGCAAGGAAACCGTCTCATTTACTAAAACTAAAGATCCGACCATCCGGTGGCTGGCCGAAAGACGCCACATTGACATTCTGACCCGTGGTAAGCCTGGGTTTGGGTTTTGGGCTCTGCGGCTCTGGGGCTTTAGGTTCCTTTTTTGGGGGATTTTGCGTTGGGTTCTACTATAGTCGCCATTTTGGTTCCTTTTCGAAGGCTCCTCAATGGAGAATTCGCGAAACTCAAACAGGAGCTACAACGACGATTGCAGGTTAATCCGGGTAGGGCTCTAGGGCTTCAGGGTTTATGGAACTTACCGTTGCAGGTGGATTCGTGACAGTGACTGTTCTCCGCTGCAAGGGACTGCCGATGATCACACGAACTGAAATGTGCAGGAAGTTTCGTGCCATGAGAGGCGACTGCCCGGATTCCCGTTGTACCGGATTCCCGTTGTAGAACACTTCTCCACAGCCCAACAAAAGCGCCGCCTTTGCCGAAGCGTCATGTCGGATCCTGTGTGCTGTGCGCAGGGCAGGGTTCCCAGCTGCCAGAGATGGGGAAGAAGCTTTATAAGACTGATGCTGCTTCGGCTGCATTTTTTGCTTTTGAGCGCTCTTTCGAGACACTTTTGCTACCCGACATCCTCAAATCCCCTGAACCGAAGAAAGCCTGGGACGGCCTTGCAGGAGGACTTCCGGGCGGCGCTGGACCGATGCGCTCAGGTGCTGGAGGGCCACTCCCTGCTGGAACCGACCGGGGACGCCAGAGCGGCACTTATAGTATTTCAAGCGGTGGGCTTGGGATGTAACAGGTTCTGGGTCTACTCGTAGTGGGAAGGTACTTTTGCCCCCCGTTCCATGCCGGGAGATCCAGACGGGAGAGCCGATTAAGGTTTAGGGTTTAGGGTTTAGGATTTAGGGTTTAGGAGTTAGGGTTTAGGGTTTAGGATAATGTTTATTTGACAAGGACTGGAAGGTTTTCCTGCTGCAGGGATCTTAGGTTTGAGTGTTGCAGTCTGAGGGTGATGTGGTGACTGGGACCTGACTCTCTGTGTGTGTGTGCTTCTTTTCCTCGCCCCCGTTCCTGTTCCAATATAGGAGTCTCAGTAGCCGGTGGTCTCGATCCTCTTTGCACCCTAAACCCTAAACCCTAAACCCTAAACCTATGTAACCTCAAGGACCTCAGGGACTTGCTCTTCGCTGACGGACCTGAAGCTGCCACGAGGTTCGATCAGCATGGCACTCAGAGTCGGCAGTCACAGGGACCCGAAGCCCTGACCCTGAGCCCTAGTAGATCAGTAAGAATAATGATAGTAATAATAAGAATAATAACGATGGTAATGATAATAAGCAAATCCGAACTGAGGTCTACATCACTTTCCCAACTGGCCATTTTTGCCCTGGAGTATGCGCTGAGCGAAATGTGGAAGGCCAGAGGCCTCCAACCTTTCGCTGTTCTCGGGCACAGTGTGCCTCGGTACCAATGAATTGCAGGTTTTAGGGGTTCGGGTTTAGGGCGTAGGGGAATTTCGGAATGGGGTTTCGGGTTTAGAGGTTTGACAGCTTATGGGTTCGGGTTTGGCTGAGATGATCAGACCTCTTGAAGCGTACGCCCAATCCCATGACCCTTTTACTAAACCCTCTAACGGCTAACGGCTGAAGAGGCTTTTTTCTGAGGCCCTAAACCCTGAATCGTAGAAGCGAAGACCCAAAGAGAACCGGGGAAGATGGGGCCATGGACTGAGGTGGGCGAGTACGCTGCTGCTGTGCTGGCAGGGACCATGTCCCTGG